AACCCTTATTCAGAGAAAATAAAAGAATTATTACAATCAACAATATATATTAAAATTAAAAACAATTTATTGTATCATGGCAAAAAAAAATTATTTTGCCCTTTTTTTTTGGGAACAGGGTTTGGTAGTTTTAATCAATGAATATATATAGTTTTTTTATTTTATATTTCAAATGGTCTCTACGAAGTTGGAGAAGCTGGTAGTTGATTTTCGTTGCTGAAGTATTATAATTTCGGTTTTTTGAAGTTGAAAAATTGGCTATTGTCGAGATCATATATTAGTTTAGGTCTATGTAGAACGTACAACCATGACGACAGTCAATAAATGATTGAATTATACAGCTTTTTTTATATTAATAAGTTTATTTAACCAAACGTCGTTTTTGAACCATTACCATTTTGATTGCTTTAGAAGAATCATTGCCAAAAAATATTTATATTTAATGATTTTGAAAAGCATAATTATCAAATAAAAAGAGATTCAAAAAATGACATATGTCTATATATTTATTTTAATTTGCCGCAACTGGATTCCAAAGGCAAAAATATTCAATATGCCCGAAAAAAAAAAATAAAAATTCGACCAATGAAATTGGTCGTTACAAATCAGCCAATAGGATATTATATATAAGAATTTTAATTATTTTTAAAAATCATTTTTCTGATTATTTTTTCATTTATATATAAATTCGGAAATATTTAGACGAGGTTTTATCTAAAACGATATTGAACGTAAAATGTCCACCGACGAAAAGTCACAGAGAAATGTCTCCACTGGAAAAAAAAAAGGTGACCAATCGTTGTTTAAACCTAAACCCACATTTTTACGCACATGTAAAGTTGCATAATCGTGTGTCAAAAAACACAAATACCACAATGTTGCCATCATTGTATACAGACGAACCGTGGGCGCTTTTTTTAAAATGCCAAAACATAAACAAATATCCTTAATGATTACACACACACACACACACACAAAAATTTTTGATAACAAACAAAAAGAAAAAATGGACCCAAATTCCTCCCAAAATTTATATTTAAAAATTGCAACCATTAATTTTAAAATTTTTTTTTTTCGTCCTCTGAATTACAATACCGAGCCATTATATATAATCGCATATCCAAGCTTACAACACTTGTTACGTCCTGGGTATGATGATAAACTACATCTGGCAGCAAGGCCTCTGATTGGGAGGTTTTAAGAAACATGGAACCACCTCACAATTGTTGTTATACTTTCCACCCTATAGGTGAAGTGGTTTAAACCTGTTAGGGTTACAACTATGGGCAAATAGCTTATTATTGTTAAACTGAGTTAAATCAAATGATGATAGTACAAACAACAAAATGTTTATACTAAAAAAACCAACAATACATTTTTTTTTTTAAAATATATTACCAGTAATACATTTTTAAAAGAAATTAATAATCTGTAGATACAAAAAATTAAATTTTTAAATTAAATGACCCACCCATATATTGATAATGCATTAAATTTTAATAAACAAATCAAATATTTAATATATTATATATATATATATATATATATATATATATATATATATATATATATATATATATATATATATATATTACAAAATACATGAATGTATACATATATTACCACACAACAAAATGTAAAAAAAAACAAATATATGCATATAAAAATAAATTTAACAACTATATATATATATATATATATATATATATATATATATATATATATATATATATATATATATATATATATATATATATATATATATTATTTAATGAAAAACTAGGTAAACTCCGTATGGGTAAACCTAAGGAGGATAAAATCCAGAGAGCTCAATGTAAATCCAGAGCAAATAATTTAAATAAAAACAGACCACTTTAAGGTTCCATGTAATAAATTATTTCACCACAGCCCTTTTTTTAAAGACTGCGGATCATCAGACTTTACTTCTCGAAAATAAAAAAATATATATATATATATATATATATAATGTGGTTATGAGCACTTCAACGTATTAATGGCTAAATTTTTATCTCGCTAGATCAATTACGAGTTAGTTTGATCCGTACTGGGTGCTCTATACTTTGGGCCTTGTGCCACATCTAAGCAACAGTTAGAAAATTACAATATATTCTCCCCTAGCTACGGATTAATGAGTATGACTTGTGTCACGAAACCGTTAGTATCACCAAAAAAGTTCTTACTATCTAAAAATATTTTATGGCTTTAAATAAGCTGCAAAGGGGTGATAAACCGTAGGAAACGAATCAAGCAAATTAAGTGTTATTAGTTGATTAATTCCAAGTTCACCTCATAACAGAAAGTACCTGACTCTTCCTACCGTTCTCAATCTTTAAAAGAACCAAAAATGTTGTATTGCTGCAACATCTAAGCTGGAGTTGCCCAGTTCTCACTTTTCGGTCGTGGCAGAGTTCAGAAGCGTTTGCCCGACTTTGCGGTTGATGACTTGTTTTCCACTCTACAACCACTTTCTCCACAGGCGAAAAATTGCTAACCTTCCGCTACTCTGTCATTATTTTCTTAACATATTCCGATGAACAATACTTCTTAGTTCCACCAGTCTAGACATTCACATAAGACCCACCAAGACACTTACCCTGAATCGACTCAACCCGCGTTTGGTTCGTGTTCCATAGGTAAAGGTGAAGTTCCATTCAGTTTCTTCTCCAGAACTATTAAATTGTGGAACCGACTCCTGAGAGGATGCTTCCCTGATCCCTAAAATTTAAGTCACTTCAAATCCAGTGATAATCGTTATCCATCAATATAATTATCCCCATTATAGACACCGCTTACGCCTTCTTCCACCCTTAGAATTTAATTTAATAAAATTTTACCTGGAGTGCCTCTTGGGCCTTTTGTTGGGGGAATATTATTATACTTGGGTCTTTCTCTCTCTAGCTGAAGACAACGCGCGTCTTATATAATAAACTAGCCGAGTTACCCGTGCCTTGTTGCGTGTCACATTTTTTTGTAAGAAAATGATTGATTTTATATCATTTTTATAATTTGTGGAGAAAAATAATGCATTTCAATATTACTCAATGATCTTGACAAGGTGACCTCCATCTTCAGGCTTTCTTCTTCTATATTTTGAATTGGAGTCATCCCTTTGTTCAAATTTAAATTTAATTTAGACCAAAGAGAGAACAATTTTCAACTGTGAACTGTGCAAAAACAGCTTGATCTGACCCCTTTGATATGTATTTGCGGCAATACTTGACTGAATGAATTGACGAGCAGATTTCAACTTTGATATGACAGTTGAATTGTCACAATAAATATATATTGTAAGGCACTACCCAGTGATTGGTGATTTGTTGCTCAACTTGACGTCCATATTGTCTCATTTTGATCTTGTCAATGTGACCTCCATCTTCTGTCTTTATCCTCTTACATTTTGGATAGGAGTCATTCTTTTGTTCAAATCAAAAGGGGAAAAATTCAGTGTGGGATGCCCCCGGGGACCCACTTTAATCAAAATGATCTTCTCGATGTGACCTCCATCTTCTGGCTTTCTCCTTCTATATTTTGGATAGGAATCATTCCTTTGTTCAGATTTAAATTTAATTTAAAGGGAAAACAAATTTCAGTGAGGTTTTATGCTCCTCACCCCCGGGGAGATTCCTTTTGATCAAAATGAAATAAACTTATCCAAGTCCCTAGGAGTCATTCCCGAATTCAAATTTAAATTTGATTTATATCAAAAGGAAAAAAAATTCAATGGTGGGAGTGCAGCGCCACCCCACCTCCCTGGGACACCCTCCTTTGATCAGAATGGATCAAAATGCATATAAGTATCCAAGTACCCTGTGTAATGTAGTTTCAGAATATATCTGGTTGCCGGTCTATCTCCAAAACCCTAGGAGTAGTTCGATAACAAACAGACAGAGGCTACAAGTTTAAATATATAGATTTTCCAAGATATTCGATAAGTTTAAGTTTACGCATGCGCCATTGGCTATGATTAGCTGTACTTCGTCTAAATCCATAATGGCGTAAAATTAAATATAAATAATCACGTTGCTTTGTAAGATATCAAGTACAAGCATAATAAATCGAACTAATTTTCATCCGTAATTCTATCATCAGTATCTTCGCCATTACTGAAAGCATTCTTCTGGAAAATAAGCACGCGTAAATACCCTTGGGAAAGTCATGAATCCACTTCTCCCCGCAGCTATTTGTTAATTAATAGGACTTGTTTCAATAGATCATTACTAGAAAGACCCCTGAAAATTTGACGGCTTTCCTATTTCAATATTCTGATGAATCATTAAGTTAATGATTGAATAAGCTCGTGGTGAGTTCAACAACAGTAAAATATCCGTAGAAATTCCCCTTTCGCATCGTTAAATATTTGCGCTTAACAACTTTAACAAAATGATGCAATAATGGATACTGGTCGTTATTCTAAGAAATAAGAAGGTACACATGAAAAGATTTTTTCCATTTCACTGAAACAGACGTTAAACACTTCTATCTTTCCTTCTTTCTTGCTTGCTTGCTGTATTTCATTCTATCATTGAAACCAAGTAGCATCATTTTCGCGCTTTCACGCGGTCAAAACGGAATAGTTCATTTTTTATGAAGTATTGACAGGACGTAACGGTCGTGCAAACTAACTAATTAACTAAATAACGAAGGGAGGTACAAACAAAATTATTATATGATGTTGATGCTTATTTAAAAAAAAAACAATTCCTACAATCTAAAAATAGTTTCTGGTTTTAATGTTTGATTTGATCGAGTTGTTATTTTACAGTTTATCAACCCTTTGAAAGTTATTTACCACCTGAAAATATTTTTAGTTTGTAATAATCTTTGTTTTAGATAATAATGATTTAGTGATACAAGCCTTACTAATTAACCCATAGCTGGGGAGAGAGGGATCGAATATAACGAAAACCAGGGGAATTCGAACTCTGCTCTCCGTTTAACAATTTCGAACCATTATCGATTACACCAACCGCATATCCAAGCTGACAGCACCTCGTATTCACAAGCGGTCACCCATCTAGGAACTGACCAGGCTCGACGTTGCTTAACTTGGTTCATCGTACGGGAACCGGGGTTTCAACTTGATATGGCCGTAAGCTTACTTGTTTTATATGCAGGCAAGTTTGTTGTGAATTGTTCTCAACCCGAAGTCGTCAGTATTTGTTTTCCTGCAAACATATTTGCATCCGATTGATATTTTAATAAAATAAACTTGCAGTTACTTGAACCGTAACACCAGTTTTACACTATGTATCACTGCAAACAACAGACCTGATTGACCAAACTGAACCCTACGCGTATCACTTAACGTCTGGCCATTACTGTATATTGACCCTCGCCTGAAGTAATATAATAGCTTACATCCGAGTATCAGTGAAAGCTTTATTTACCCAGTCTGTCCTGCTATGCATTCCTACTTTTCCCAATGGTAACTGAATGTGATGAACTCGACTAGAATTCGAACTCGCCTCTCTGATTCCTCAATCAGAGCGGCTATATATTACTCCAACTGGCTCTATTTTCTATACTTTATGACCAACACATTTGATCTTTGATATATTCAATAATATGGAAAACTTCGATAAATGAAACATTGTGATACTGTGTTTGGTTTGAAAGCATATTGTCAGAGTTTACACAAGCACCACGTGCGTTACCTGAAGTTGGATTCTATAATAATGGTAAGGGCAATATTAGCCGTTTCCTTATAAGGAAACATTCGAAATTTATTGGCCGAGTAACCACCGCTACTGCCGGTTGAAATTTATAAAACCTTTTTATTAAAAGACATTCTTGAGGAAAATAGATTTCTAAAGTCTAAGTGTTAGCGCTATTTCCAGAAATGATGGGAGATTCCTTCCTAAGCTTTTGTTCGATGTAGTGTGGAACGTCAACATCTTGATTATGTCACTATTTTATCTTCGAGTGACATACATTTTAGTTGTTGTTGCTGTTGAAACCGTCCCCAAATTTTGAATTCAGAGTTGTCCCTCCAGACAAGAAGGACCCAGTCTATGCTACTATTTATCCATAGCGGGGAGAAGGGTGTTACAATTTTTGGATACATTGGACTAGTGAGCCAACCCAAATGACTTGACTCACTTTATAGTCCACCAATAGAAAGTTAACCAATCAGAAGACGGAGAATATTCAATCCGTCGTGTATAAAGGCGGCCATTTTATTTACTCTATGTCCAGTGCCAGCTTGTCAGGCGAAGAGGGACAGAAGGACGAACCACGCTCTGCTACTTTCACCGGGGTATCCACTGCCAACTTGAAATGCGCTTCCCTACTGTCTTCGAAATATTCACTGCTAACCTCTGGATTCTATACTCAAAGACGACCGTCATCATGAACAACAAAGGGAAGGATTCATATGATTCCTAAGAGTATTATGCTTTTTCTATTAAGATTTGTGGCACAAGGATGAAAGTATGGGACACCCAGTGAGGATCGAACTCACTACTCAATCATAATTGTTCTAGCTAAACAACCTTGCTAACCATTACCCCACGTCGAGGTGCCCCTCTTCCCAAGGGTATTAACACGTAAGTGAATGTAATGAACTCAACTGGAATTCGATCTCCGCTTTCGGATTCCTCAATTCCTATTACTCCACCGTGCCTCCTGAAAGGCGGGCTCTATTTGCTAGACTTTACGCCCAACACATCTGATCTTTCATATATTCAACAATATCGAAAACTTCGATAAACGAAACATTGTCTGGCTTGAAAGAATGTTGTTATAATTTACACTAGAACCAGCATGAAGTTTGATTCTAAAAAAAATGGCACGTAAGCCTTCTGGCTTTAAACAACCTGCAAAAAGATAGATAATCCGTAAAAACGAACAAATCAATCTTTAAAAACAGATTACTTTAGGAGTGTTTACGCTCTATATGTTTGCTAAATAAGTATTTTATTTAGTCTTTCACTAATCAGCGAAGTTTCATTTCTTTTCTTTTTTTTTAATAATTGTTAAAATGGAACTACATATGATTTACTTTTCGCAATTTAAATTCTCGCCTTGTCAGTTTTCCTTTATAATGTGTTCTTTGTTCTGTCAATCAGAAGAGTAAGTCTTTTTTCTTTTTACTGACAAAAATCTGTTTTCACTATCATTTATTGTAGACAGCGACAGATTTGAAGAGACAAATTGTAGATACTTGTCATAAACACAATCTGAAAGTTTATCTACTAAAACGATAGATACGAGACAAAATCAAATTAGGCTGAAATTTGGGTAAATCAATTTTAACAGATATCAGAAAAATGACCGCTGACGGCAAATATGTTCACTATAACGTTACCGCAAAAAATAAACTTCCGATTTTTAGAGAGCGGGAAAAAAAAACAAGTAAATTCTATATTCAAGTAGAAAACCAAATAATTTCAGAAACCTAATAATATAGACTTACCGACAAAAACAACTGCGATATCTGCCTTGTACCTTCAGAACATAAGTGATCATGACTCTCCACACTTTCCTCTCGTTTAGAGCTTGAAACAATAATTCTACTTACCCACCCAACCACTGATCTGACATTCCTTCAGGCATGCTCGTCATGTAGGCTACCATTTTGTCTTCAATCGAACCCCGTCAAATTCTCCCTGGAAGATGCAAGGGTCTACTGGGAGTAAAAGAGAATGAAAAAGACTTTAGAAGGAAAGACATTTTTGTATCGAAAGACTTTTCAACAAGACAATTTTTTATCGAAACATCTTTCTATGGAACTATTTTTCGTCGAGGCATGCTTATATCGAATTTTTTTTTTTCATAGAAATATCTTTGCATCGAAATATTTTTCGTCGAAGCCTCTTTGTATCGAATGACTTTCAACGAAACATTTTTGTATCGAATGAAAACCTAGAAAAAAGAAACTCAATTAGTTTAGGTTTTTTTTTTTTTAGACATTAACCATTTTGTGGGATGAATAATAATGCTGTTACACGATTTGGACAATTTTGCTGATACACCCGGTGTATTTAATTTAATTACTTATCTGATGATAATGACTTAATAATCAATTTGATAAATGTCATCACGTGGAATGTTTCCTTTTTTGTGAAAATTTTCCCACAATACAAGGCGCAAGAGTCACTCAAGGTAGAGTTTACTGAATGATGTTATATGGCGTTAAGAGAAGGAAGCAGGTCTAGATAATGAGTATATGTAGGATAGATAGCGGTTGGCCCTACGCATGTAGTGACTGGGGAAGCACTAACTCGGGAGACTTTTTTGTTGCGAAAAAAGCTTTCTGTGCGAAATTTCCTTCTTACCAATACGAAGGGAATGATAATGTTTCGACCCTATGTACCTGGCAGGGCGAAACCTAGATGTGATCTCTGAACTGGTGGAACGAAGGAATGTTGATCGTCTGAACATTGGCCATGGAAATAACGACAGGGTAACGATAGCCTTGTAACGTTTCGTCTATGTTTAGAGAACCGTGAGCAATCCAGCGTTTAAAAGGCTGCCCAAAGAATTTTGAAATCTGTCAAGTCTGGAAAGTGGGGACTGGACATCTCCAACCCAGATGTGGCAGCATTGCTCTAAAAACAGTCATGGGCAGAGGCCGGCCGGCGGACCACACGTAGCCCGTTTCGCTAACAGAAAGGCACTCTGAATTCCATGAGGAAAATGAAGTTTATTAAAATTTTGTTTATTTGGATTAGCTCTCACTTGTTCACACACATTTTCTCATGCATAGCCACATCCATAAACAATGATTAATTACGTTTCTTGAATTTTGCGATAAAGGTGAAGTTTTCATCATTTTAAACAATTGGTGATTTTCACTAAGGAAGACTATGCGTATAAATATAATTTGCTTTAACAGCAGAACGTTCATAATATTTTTTTTTATCTGGAGAAGAAATATATTTTATGGAGAAGAAACATATTTTTTAATTTAAAAATTAATTTTTGTATTTTCAAATAAATAAACAAGAAACAAATCACATGCAACAGTGTGTGCGTTAACCACTGTCATCATACTTATTATAAAACCCAGGTTGTATGTGTGTGTGTCTGTCTGTTCGTTCGTTTATATATTGGATCGGATTTCCTACATTTTTCAACCGATTTCAACAAAACTTCACAGGACTACGTAAAATTAGCTTGCAGTGGTTCTGACAGCGTCAAAAATTGAAAAACACAATTGTTTTAGCACAAAATTAATTTGAAAACATGATTAAGAGGCATCGCTGTCGCGAGAATGAAAGAGGAACAACTCATATCGAGTTATACTTATTATAAAACCAAGTTTTTTTTTGTTTTTTGTGTGTGTGTGTGTTCGTTTATAGATGGGATCGGATTTCCTACATTTTTCAACCGATTTCAACAAAACTTCACTTTTTTTGGCAGGTAGTGTTTCTTATTGTCTTGCACACTTTTTTCTTTATTTTTACATTCAGAATGCTTTAAAAATTCCATTTACAAGACAATTGTTTGTAATAAAATTCTATTCCATCGATAGACTCAGAACGATTGAAAACAATGTTTTTGTTTGAGTTTGGGTTTGACCAATTCGTAAAAAAAAGAAATACCAAAAAAAAAAAACTAATTAAGACTTGCGTGTCCGTCAACCTTAAACAATAATCTTTGTCAATTTTATTTTTCAGGCTTTATGATGGTCGATACTCGATCTATCTCTTACTGTTACATCCCCGGGCAACGCCGGGCTCTACTGCTAGTCTTTGATAAAATTATACCAGGACTTCATTTTGTTTTAATTATTGAGAAATTTTTTTCTCCAAAAACAATCAAACTTTCACCATTTAATGGCAGATGCTTACGTATATGGGATTCTGCGATGAAAATGGCTGGGACAGCGTCAACAAAAAATTTAGAAATTTTGAAAACAAAAAATTACCTTGAATCTTTTATGTAGCGCGACCCGCCTTACGATGAGCCAGATCTGATACGACCCACTAGTCGGAAATGGTTGGCAATATCTACTCTGAAACATAGAGTATGTCAGGAGGAGTACGTTTTTTTATGGGGGTGTTACAAAGAACATACCATTTCTCTACCATCTTTTCCGATATATACCACACACACACACACACACACACACACACACACACACATATAT